GAGAGAGGTGAGGTTCAGGAAAACTCAAACTCAACGCGATTTTCTGCACCTCTCTTTAAACATGTCCAGATTCCCCGCCCCTTAAACACGCGATGTTCTGCACGTCTACTTATAAACGCGTTGAGGAAACTTAATGCTGCTAGTGGTACTTGGGCCCGGGTTGTTTTTTGTAGGAATTCCCCGCCCCCTTTTCCTTTGTTTTAAATATGATTGTTATTAAAAAAAAAACAAAAAAAAACACCCATACCACGCAGGTAGGGTGGGACTAAGAGGCAGGGGCATATCTGCCTAGCCCGGTGGGATGAGACACCCTACAGGGCCAAGCGTGGCATGGCAGTGAATCATTTCAGCCAAAGTCCCTGCAGCAGCCCGAACGAATTTTGCACCTCGGTCTGCGTTGCATTCAATATTATGAATCGAAGGACCCACTGGCTCCTGATGAGTAGGTAGGTGAAACTCCGACGAAACCGTTTGTCACAGCCCCTTCCTCGTTTGTTCTACTCTTCTCCCTCTCCTCCTACGGTTTACCGAGCACTTCACCGGGCACTTCTGTTTGATTTGACGATATATATATATATATATATATGTATACGAAACAGTTTGTCACAGCCCCTCGTTTGTTGTCCTCTTCTCTCTCTCTGCCTACGGTTTACCGGGCAGTTCTATTTGTGACGATATATATATATATATATATATATCCTCAAACAGATCTGCCCGGTAAACCTTAGTAGGCAGAGAGGGAGGGAGAAGGAGGCGAGGACAACAAACGAGGCAGGGGCTGTGACAGACTGACTGTTTCGTCGGAGTTTCACGGACTCATCAGGAACAGGGTGAATCCTCAACAGTGTGCAGAATCCCCTAACTGACTGAATCCTAAGTGATAATTCACCTTTAACCCCGGCTGTGGTTAAGCATCAACCAGTGCCCGACAACTGATACCCTGAGGTGGGCACCAACCGCTGCCCTCTATATATAGACACACATACATACTGTCACAAGAATATCAGAGCGCAAATGCAAAAAAAAGAGAAAAAAGGAGAAAAGGAAACCAGGGAATATATCAATTTTTTATCTTCTTCCTTATAACTCCCCCTGTTCAGAACCTCTTGCGTACAAGGCCGCCCACGTGGATGTAGGTTGAGCGGCGGCTGCCCCCACCCCCGTGTGTCATATCGACCCACTTGCACACAGCTATATATATATATATATCGTCACAAACAGAACTGCCCGGTAAACCGTAGGCAGAGAGAGAGAAGAGGACAACAAACGAGGGGCTATATATATATATATATATATCGTCAAATAGAACTGCCCGGTAAACCGTAGGCAGAGAGGGAGAAGAGGACAACAAACGAGGGGCTGTGACAAACTGTTTCGTCGGAGTTTATATGTATATATATATATATATATCACATGATATCAGATAATTGTACACAAATTCGCAAAGCTTGCTCCAGGTTCCCGAAGCTGTCCACGTTACTGATGACTGGGCAAAAAGAGAAAGCATATTTCCGCTCGACGGGATATAACGCCCTCACTCTATCTAAGCCATTCTGTTTAAAATGAAAAAAAAAAAATCAATGCTTATCGGGTTGCTGCTCCCCACGAATAGACTGCAGTCGGCTTGCTCGTCAGAAAGAAAAGAAACACAAATAGAAAAATCTGACGAAGAAAGCCCTCCCAACTTCCCAAAAGCCCCTCCAGACTCCAGTTCATGACTGTTCCGTACAAACCCAACACAATGTCATGTGCTGTCTGCGCCCTCGTCAGGACTTAGTGCAGATCTGGCATTTCTTAACTGAAAGACCTGAGGGCAAAGAAGGGTCGTTATGTACACGACAACCCCAGCGGCCACGGCCATCGAAGAAGGCACGAAGTTCATCAAGGCACGAAGTTCATCCAGTCTCTCTGAGGGCATCGCCACACCTCCACCTCTCTCGAAATGTGCAAAATCAGAATGAACCTCACACTAGAACATGGCCAGATGCACCCGCCCAACCTCTGTCGCACATCATCAATTTACTTGACAGTGGGCCCCAGCCTGGTGAATAAACTACCCGTGATGGTGCAACGTCCGCCAGTACCATCGTTTTTTTTTTTTTTTTTAATTTATTTGTTTATTTATTTATTTATTTATACCGTAACACCTTTAATCAAACCAATCCCCACGTCATCACCCAAAGCCATAATGATCGGAATGAGCAGTATCTGTTCAGTACAGTTTTTTTTTTTTTTTTTCCAATTCATAGAACTGTACCCTGGGGCGTGGTCCCATTAGCAAAGAGGATCGGACGGAATGCCTGAATCTGGACGAGTTTATGGAGATGTGCAGGAAATCGAGATTGAAATGCTTTTCTGCATCTCTGCTTAAAACACATCCAGATTCAGGAGCTCGATCCTATCCTTTTTGGTAGTGGGACCTCGGCCCTGATCATAACAACTGGATCAAGTGCAGTATCTATTCGCATCAGAAGTTCAATAATACATTGGAAAAAAAAAAAAAAAAAAAAAAAACTGAATCCCCTGCATGATGAGATAAGCTAGTGGTATCTGATCTTGTCAGCACCACTAGCACTGCAGGGGGGGCATGTTTTCTGAAAAAAAAAAAAAAAAAAAAAAAAAAA